GAGTATGGCAGTGTCACAAAATAGTGTATAACACCCATACTGTGAGTTGGAGAATGGCAGTGTGACTATAGTGTGTATAACACCCATACTGTGTGTTGGAGTATGGCAGTGTCACACTGTAGTGTGTATAACACCCATACTGTGTGGTGGATTATGGCAGAGTCACTATAGTGTGTATAACACCCATACTGTGTGTTAGAGTATGGCAGTGTCACTATAGTGTGTATAACGCCCATACTGTGTGGTGGAGTATGGCAGTGTCATATAATGTGCATAACACCATACTGTGTTTTGGAGTATGGCAGTGTCACACTATAGTGTGTATAACACCCATACTATGTGTTGGAGTATGTCAATATCACTCTATAGTGTGTATAACACCCATACTGTGTGGTGGAGTATGACAGTGTCACTATAGTGTGTATAACTCCCAAACTGTGTGGTGGAGTATGGCAGTGTTACACTATAGTGTGTATAACACCCATACTGTGAGTTGGAGTATGGCAGTGTCACTATAGTTTGTATAACACCCATACTGTGTGGTGGAGTATGGCAGTGTCACACTATAGTGTGTATAACACCCATACTGTGTGTTGGAGTATGGCAGTGTCACACTATAGTGTGTATAACACCCATACTATGTGTTGGAGTATGTCAATATCACACTATAGTGTGTATAACACCCATACTGTGAGTTTGAGTATGGCAGTGTCACTATAGTGTGTATAACTCCCATACTGTGTGGTGGAGTATGGCAGTGTTACACTATAGTGTGTATAACACCCATACTGTGAGTTGGAGTATGGCAGTGTCACTATAGTTTGTATAACACCCATACTGTGTGGTGGAGTATGGCAGTGTCACACTATAGTGTGTATAACACCCATACTGTGTGTTGGAGTGTGGCAGTGTCACACTATAGTGTGTATAACACCCATACTCTGTGTTGGAGTGTGGCAGTGTCACACTATATTGTATATAACACCCCATACTGTGTGTTGGAGTGTCGCAGTGTCACACTATAGTGTGTATAACACCCATACTGTGAGTTGGAGTATGGCAGTGTCACTATAGTTTGTATAACACCCATACTGTGTGGTAGAGTATGGCAGTGTCACACTGTAGTGTGTATAACAACCATACTGTGTGTTGGAGTGTGGCAGTGTCACACTATAGTGTGTATAACACCCATACTGTGTGTTGGAGAGTGGCAGTGTCACACTATAGTGCGTATAACACCGATACTGTGTGTTGGAGTGTGACAGTGTCACACTATAGTGTGTATAACACCCATACTGTGTGGTGGAGTATGGCAATGTCACAATATAGTGTGTATAACACCCATACTGTGTGGTTGAGTATGGCAGTGGTCACACTTGTTGTTGTATACACCCATACTGTGGTTGAGTATGGCAGTGTCACACTATAGTGTGTATAACACCCATACTGTGTGGTGGAGTATGACAATGTCACAATATAGTGTGTATAACACCCATAATGTGTGGTGGAGAATGGCAGTGACACAATATAATGAGTATAACACCCATACTGTGTAGTGGAGTATGGCAGTGTCACAAAATAGTGTGTATAACACCCATACTGTGAATTGAAGTATGGCAGTGGCACACTGTAGTGTGTATAACTCCTATACTGTGAGTTTGAGTATGGCAGTGTCACTATAGTGTGTATAACACCCATACTGCGTGGTGGAGTATGGCAGTGTCATTATAGTGCGTAAAACACCCATACTGTGTGTTGGAGTATGGCAGTGTCACACTGTAGTGTGTATAACACCCATACTGTGTGGTGGAGTATGGCAGTGTCACTATAGTGTGTATAATACCCATACTGTGTGTTGGAGTATGGCAGTGTCACACTGTAGTGTGTATAACACCCATACTGTGTTGTGGAGTATGGCAGTGTCACTATAGTGTGTATAACACCCATACTGTGTGTTGAAGTATGGCAGTGGCACACTGTAGTGTGTATAACACCTATATTGTGAGTTTGAGTATGGCAGTGTCACTATAGTGTGTATAACACCCATACTGCGTGGTGGAGTATGGCAGTGTCATTATAGTGCGTAAAACACCCATACTGTGTGATGGAGTATTGCAGTGTCAATATAGTGTGTATAACACCCATACTGTGCTTTGGAGTATGGCAGTGTCACACTATGGTGTGTATAACACCCATACTGTGTGGTGGATTATGGCAGTGTGACTATAGTGTGTATAACAGCTATACTGTGTCTTAGAGTATTGCAGTGTCACTATAGTGTGTATAACACCCATACTGTGTGGTGGAGTATGGCAGTGTCTTTATAGTGTGCATAACACCCATACTGTGTTTTGGAGTATGGCAGTGTCACACTATAGTGTGTATAATACCCATACTGTGTGTTGGAGTATGTCAGTGTCACACTATAGTGTGTATAACACCCATACTGTGTGGTGGAGTATGGCAGTGTCACTATAGTGTGTATAACTCCCATACTGTGTGGTGGAGTATGGCAGTGTCACACTATAGTGTGTATAACACCCATACTGTGAGTTGGAGTTGGCAGTGTCACTATAGTTTGTATAACACCCCATACTGTGTGTTGGAGTGTGGCAGTGTCACACTATAGTGTGTATAATACCCGTACTGTGTGATGGAGTATGGCTGTGTCACACTATAGTGTGTATAACGCCCCATACTGTGTGTTGGAGTGTGGCAGTGTCACACTATAGTGTGTATAACTCCCATACTGTGTGATGGAGTATGGCTGTGTCACACTATAGTGTGTATAACGCCCATACTGTGTGGTGGAGTATGGCAGTGTCACAATATAGTGTGTATAACACCCACACTGTGTAGTGGAGTATGGCAGTGTCACTATAGTGTGTATAACACCCATACTGTGTGTTGGAGTATGACAGTGTCATTATAGTGTGTATAACACCCATACTGTGTGTTGGAGTATGGCAGTGTCACACTGTAGTGTGTATAACACCCATACTGTGTGGTGGAGTATGACAGTGTCACTATAGTGTGTATAACACCCATACTGTGTGATGGAGTATGGCAGTGTCACACTATAGTGTGTACAACACCCATACTGTGTGTTGGAGTATGGCTGTGTCACTATAGTGTGTATAACACCCCTACTGTGTGTTGGAGTATGACAGTGTCACTATAGTGTGTATAACACCCATACTGTGTGATGGAGTATGGCATTGTCACACTATAGTGTGTACAACACCCATACTGTGTGTTGGAGTATGACAGTGTCACTATAGTGTGTATAACACCCCTACTGTGTGTTGGAGTATGACAGTGTCACTATAGTGTGTATAACACCCATACTGTGTGATGGAGTATGGCAGTGTCTCACTATAGTGTGTACAACACCCATACTGTGTGTTGGAGTATGGCTGTGTCACTATAGTGTGTATAACACCCCTACTGTGTGCTGGAGTATGACAGTGTCACTATAGTGTGTATAACACCCATACTGTGTGATGGAGTATGGCATTGTCACACTATAGTGTGTACAACACCCATACTGTGTGTTGGAGTATGACAGTGTCACTATAGTGTGTATAACACCCCTACTGTGTGTTGGAGTATGACAGTGTCACTATAGTGTGTATAACACCCATACTGTGTGATGGAGTATGGCAGTGTCTCACTATAGTGTGTACAACACCCATACTGTGTGTTGGAGTATGGCTGTGTCACTATAGTGTGTATAACACCCATACTGTGTGATGGAGTATGGCATTGTCACACTATAGTGTGTACAACACCCATACTGTGTGTTGGAGTATGACAGTGTCACTATAGTGTGTATAACACCCCTACTGTGTGTTGGAGTATGACAGTGTCACTATAGTGTGTATAACACCCATACTGTGTGATGGAGTATGGCACTGTCACACTATAGTTTGTATAACACCCATACTGTGTGGTGGAATATGGCAGTGTCACACTATAGTGTGTATAACACCCACACTGTGTGGATGAGCGTGACAGTCATACATTATAGTCTGTATGAAACAACAATATACTCACGTGTCAAGAACACACAAGAAAATAATACTGTGTTTTCGCTTGGGATCCTTCGCCTCTGTAATTCTCATATTTATTTCGACGTTCTGCTATTCTCTTGTACATCGCTTTTTTGTCAATATTTCTCGCTGTACATTATCATCTGAGGAGGGAGGGAAGTCCCTCGTTGCTGTGCAACGTATTTTAAAGGTTTTAGTGAAGTGGTGGTGTTGAAACCTACATTACTGTCGGATCCACAACCCTGGTTTAGTGAGGTTTGGGGTGTTGTAGTGTCATATTGAGTTATGTATGATGCCAGTGTCGGAGTTATAGACGTGAGTTATAGACGAATTATAGTACCTGTACACAACCCGGGTTTAGGAAGCCTGGGAGAGCTATAGAGTTTGAGATGACTCTAATATCCGAGTTTAGCGAGATGAGTGCGTTGACACAAATGTGATATCTGTGCCACAACCCGGGTTTAGCGAGACTGAGAAAGAAGCAAGAGGATATGATAGTAAGGTTTAGTGGATGATTTAAGGTGAGTAAAGTAACGTGGATGAAGTAAAGTGGATTAATGAAGAAGGTGGATAAAGTGAGATGGGTGAAGAAGGTGGATAAAGTAAAAAAAAAAAGGCGGATAAAGGAAGAAGACACACATAATAAAAAAAAAATACAGAAAGTAGGTAGAGAAAGAAGGCGAATAAATTAAGAAAGATAAGGGAAACGAGAAAAGAACATTCGGGGGAAGACGAGCTGGTAAGAAGAGAGAGGAGAGAGGAAGAAGAGAGGGAAGGAGAGAGTGAGGACGGAAGAGAGGGAGGCAGCGAAGGGTAATGAATCACAAGGAAGGAGGTGGGGAGAAGAAACGAGACACAAGGAGAGTAGATGTGCATTTTAGGGGAGGAAAAGAAGAGAGAGAGAGAGAGAGAGAGAGAGAGAGAGAGAGAGAGAGAGAGAGAGGAGAGAGAGAGAGAGAGAGAGAGAGAGGAGAGAGAGAGAGAGAGAGAGAGAAGAGAGAGAGAGAGAGAGAGAGGGGAGAGAGAGAGAGAGAGAGAGAGAGAGAGAGAGAGAGAGAGAGAGAGAGAGAGAGAGAAGGGCGGTTGAAGCACTGGGAAACTAAAGAAGAAATGGTAACTAGGAAGGGGCGATGAGGGGAACAAGAAATCGGAAAGTGCGAAGAAAGGTAAAAAGAGATGATGTGTGAAAAATGGGGAAATAAGAAGGTAGGTAGGAAGGAAGGTAGGTAGGAAGAGGGAATAAGAAAGAAGGGAAAATAGGAAGGGAGGAAGGTAGGTAGGTAAGAATGGGGGAAGGTAGAAAGTAAGAAAGGGAGAAAGGAAGGCAGAAAGGAAAGAATGGAAGAAGAAAAGAAGAGAGGAAGAGAAGAAGGGAACAAGGTAAGAAAGCAGGTAGAAAGGTAGGTAGGTAAGTGGTAGGTAGGTAGGTAGGTAGGTAGGTAGGTAGGTAGGTAGGTAGGTAGGTAGGTAGGTAGGTAGGTAGGTAGGTAGGTATGTAGGAAGGAAGGGAAGGTCGGATGGTCGGTAGGAAGATAGGTAAGTAGATAAGAAGGTAGGTAGAAAGGTAGGTAGGAAGGGAGGCATGAAAGGAGTAAGGGAGGTAGAAAGGTAGGTAAGAAGGTAAGTAGATATGAAGGTAGGAAAGTAGGTAGGAAGGTAGTAGGAAGAGAGGAAGAGAGGTAGGAATGGAGGTAGGAAGGAGGGATGAAGGGAGGGAGGAAGGGAGAAAGAGGGGAAGGAAGATAGGTAAGGCGGCAAGAAGGTAAGTAGGAAGGTAGGTAGGATGGTATGTAGGAAGGTAGGAAGGCAGGTAGGGATGAAGGTAGGTAGGGATGAAGGTAGGTAGGGATGAAGGTAGGTAGGGATGAAGGTAGGTAGGGATGAAGGTACTTAGGGATGAAGGTAGGTAGGGATGAAGGTAGGTAGGAAGGCAGGTAGGAAGGTAGGTAGGGATGAAGATAGGTAGGGATGAAGGTAGGTAGGGATGAAGGTACTAAGGGATGAAGGTAGGTAGGTAGGAAGGTAGGAAGGTAGGTAAGGATGAAGGTAGGTAGGAAGATAGGTAGGAAGGTAGGTAGGATTGTGATAGGAAGGTAGGAAAGCAGGTAAGTAGGAAGGAAGGTAGGTAGGTAGAAAGGAAGGAAGGAGGGTAGGTTGGAAGGTAGATATGAAGGGAGGAAGAGAGGGAGGAAGGGAGGTAGGAAGGCAGGTAGGAAGGTAGGTAGGAAGGTAGGAAGGTAGGAAGGTAGGTAAGAAGGTACGTAAGCAGGAAGGAAGATAGTAGGAAAGTAGGTAGGAAGGGAGGAAGGGAGGTAGGAAGGTAGGTAAGAAGGTAGGTAGGAAGGTAAGAACGTACGTAGGAAGGTAGGTATGTGGGTAGGAAAGTAGGTAGGTAGGTAGAAAGGAAGGAAGGACGGAAGGTAGGTAGGAAGGTAGGATGTAGATAAGAAGTTAGGCAAGTAGGTAGGATGTTAGGTATTAAGGGAGGAAGGAAGGTAGGAATGGAGGAAGGAGGTAGAAAGGGAGGTAGGAAGAGGGGGAGGAAGGGAGGTAGGAAGGGACGAAAGGAGATAGGAAAGGAGGAAGGGAGATAAGGAGGTAGGAAGGGAGGAAAAGAGGAGGAAGGAAGGTATGAAGGGAGGAAGGTAGGGAGGAAGGGAGGTAGGAAGGGAGGTAGGAAGTGAGGAAGGTAGGTAGGAGGGGAGGAAGGAGAAGGAGAAGGGAGGAAGGGGAGGGGAAGGGAGGAAGGAAGGGAGGTACTCTGCAATAATGATGGTGAGAAGACAAAGACAAGAGCAATGGCGGCGCTGCTGGCCAAGAGACTCCGGGAAATGGTGGAGAGATAATAGATAAAGATGGGAGGGAGGGAGATGAGGAGGCATGAGAGAAACGGAGGACAGGAGCTAGAGGGAGGCAAGGAAGAAGAAACAGGGAGGAGGGAAGCAGGGAGGAGGAGAGGAAGTGAGGGACGGAGAGAGACAGAGAGGGATTAAGTGAGACAGGGAGAGAGGAAATAAGAAGGAAATAAGAGAGGAAGGAAGAAGGATGGATAACGATCAGATGTATAACATACAATGCCACAAAGAAGTCTGACTGTTGTGAGGTTTGACTGTTGTGAGGTTTGACTGTTGTGAGGTCTGGCTGTTGTGAGGTCTGACTGTGGTGAGGTCTGACTGTTGTGAGGTTTGACTGTTGTGAGGATTGACTGTTGTGAGGTCTGGTTGCTGTGACGTCTGACTGTGGTGAGGTCTGACTGTTGTGAGATTTAACTGTTGTTAGGTTTGACTGTTGTAAGGTTTGACTGTTGTGAGGTTTGACTGTTGTGAGGTCTGATTGTTTTGAGGTCTGACTGTTGTGAGGTCTGAGTGTTCTGAGGTATGATTGTTGTGAAGTTTGAACGTTGTGAGGTCTGACTGTTGTGAGGTTTGACTGTTGTGAGGTTTGACTGTTGCGAGGCCTGACTGTTGTGAGGTCTGAATGTTGTGAGGTTTGATTGTTGTTAGGTTTGACTGTTGTAAGGTTTGACTGTTGTGAGGTTTGACTGTTGTGAGGTTTGACTGTTGTGAGGTTTGACTGTTGTGAGGTTTGACCGTAGTGAGGTCTGATAGTTGTGAGGTTTGACTGTTGTTAGGTTTGACTGTTGCAAGGTTTGATTGTTGTGAGGTTTGACTGATGTGAGGTTTGACTGTTGTGAGGTTTGACAGTTGTGAGGTTTAACTGTTGTGAGGTTTGACTGGTGTGAGGTTTGACTGTTGTGAGGTTTCACTGTTGTGAGGTTTGACTGTTGAGAGGTTTGACTGTTGTGAGGACTGACTGTTTTTGAGGTTTGACTGTTTTTTTAGGTTTGACTGTTTTTAAGGGTTTTTTGTTGTGAGGTTTGACTGATGTGAGATTTGACTGTTGTGAGGTTTGACGTTGTGAGGCTTGACTGTTGTGAGGTTGACTGTTGTGAGGTTTTAACTGTTGTGAGGTTTGCCGTTGTGAAGGGTTTTTCTGTTATGAGGTTTACTGTTTTGAGGGTTTTAATGTTGTGAGGTCTGACAGTTGTGAGGTTTGACTGTTGTGAGGTTTGACTGTTGTGAGGTTTGACTGTTGTGAGGTTTGACTGTTGTGAGGTTTGACTGTTGTGAGGTTTGACTGTTTTGAGGACTGACTGTTGTGAGGACTGACTGTTGTGAGGTTTGACTGTCGTGAGGTTTGACTGTTGTGAGGTTTGACTGTTGTGAGGTCTGAGAGTTGTGAAGTTTGACTGTTGTGAGATTTGGCTGTTGTGAAGATTGACTGTTATGATGTCTGACAGATGTGAGGTTTGACTGTTGTGAGGTTTGACTGTTGTGAGATCTGACAGTTGTGAGGTTTGACTGTTGTGAGATTTGGCTGTTGTGAGGTTTGACTATTGTGAGGTATAGTGCTGTGAGGTTTGTTGTGAGGCTTGACTGTTGCGAGGTTTGACTGTTGTGAGGTTTGACTGTTGTGAAGTTTGACTGTTGTGAGGTTTGACTGCTGTAAGGTTTGACTGTTGTGAGGTCTGACTGTTGTGAGGTTTGACTGTTGTGAGGTTTGACTGCTGTGAGGTTTGACTGTTGTGACGTTTGACTGTTGTGAGGCTTGACAGTTCTGAGGTTTGATTGTTGTGAGGTTTTACTGTTGTGAGGTTTGACTGTTGTGAGGTTTGACTGTTGTGAAGTATGAATGTTTTGAGGTTTGACTGTTGTGAGGTTTTAGTGTTGTGAGGTTTGACTGTTGTGAGGTTTGACTGTTGTGAGGCTTGACTGTTGTGAGGTTTGACTGATGAGAAGTTTGACTGTTGTGAGGTTTGGCTGCTGTAAGGTTTGACTGTTGTGAGGCTTGGCTGTTGTGAGGTTTCATCAACTATTGTGAGGTTTTAGTGGTGTGAGGTTTGACTGTTGTGAGGCTTGACTGTTGTGAGGTTTGACTGTTGTGAGGTTTGATTGCTGTGAAGTTTGACTGTTGTGAGGTTTGACTGCTGTAAGGTTTGACTGTTGTGAGGTCTGACAGTTGTGAGATTTGACTGTTGTGAGATTTGACTGTTGTGAGGTTTGACTGTTGTGACGTTTGACTTTTGTGAGGCTTGACAGTTGTGAGGTTTGACCGTAGTGAGGTTTGACTATTTTGAGGTCTGATAATTGTGAGGATTGACTGTTGTTAGGTTTGACTGTTGCAAGGTTTGATTGTTGTGAGGCTTGACTGATGTGAGGTTTGACTGTTGTGAGGTTTGACAGTTGTGAGGTTTAACTGTTGTGAGGTTTGACTGGTGTGAGGTTTGACTGTTGTGAGGCTTCACTGTTGTGAGGTTTGACTGTTGAGAGGTTTGACTGTTGTGAGGACTGACTGTTGTGAGGTTTGACTGTTGTTAGGTTTGACTGTTGTAAGGTTTGATTGTTGTGAGGTTTGACTGATGTGAGATTTGACTGTTGTGAGGTTTGACTGTTGTGAGGTTTGACTATTGTGAGGTCTGACAGTTGTGAGGCTTGACTGTTGTGAGGTTTGACTGTTGTGAGGTTCAACTGTTGTGAGGTTTGACCGTTGTGAAGTTTGACTGTTATGAGGTTTGACTGTTTTTGAGGTTTGAATGTTGTGAGGTCTGACAGTTGTGAGTTTTGACTGTTGTGAGGTGTGACTGTTGTGAGGTTTGACTGTTGTGAGGTTTGACTGTTTTGAGGACTGACTGTTGTGAGGTTTGACTGTTGTGAGGTTCAACTGTTGTGAGGTTTGACCGTTGTGAAGTTTGACTGTTATGAGGTTTGACTGTTGTGAGGTTTGAATGTTGTGAGGTCTGACAGTTGTGAGGTTTGACTGTTGTGAGGTTTGACTGTTGTGAGGTTTGACTGTTGTGAGGTTTGACTGTTGTGAGGTTTGACTGTTGTGAGGTTTGACGTGGGGGTTATGTTGAGGATGACTGTTGTGAGGACTGACTGTTGTGAGGTTTGACTGTCGTGAGGTTTGACTGTTGTGAAAGGTTTGAAATGTTGTGAGGTCTGGAGAGTTGTGAGTTTGACTGTTGTGAGATTTGGTGTTGTGAAGATTGAGGGTTTTGTGTCTGAAGATTGGTTTTTTTGACTGTTGTGAGGTTTGACTGTTGTGAGGTTTTGATCTGTTGTGAGATTGAAAAGTTGTGAGGTTTGACTGTTGTGAGATTTGGCTTTTTGTGAGGTTTTACTTTGTGAGGTATAGTGCTGTGAGGTTTGTTGTGAGGTTGACTGTTGCGAGGTTGACTGTTGTGAGGTTTGACTGTTGTGAAGTTTGACTGTTGTGAGGTTTTGACTGCGGGAAGGTTTGACTGTTGTAGGTCTGACGTTGTGAGGTTTGACTGTTGTGAGGTTTGACTGCTGTTGAGGTTTGACTGTTGTGGGCGTTTGACTGTTGTGAGGCTTGACAGTTGTGAGGTTTGATTGTTTTTGAGGGTTTTACTGTTGTGAGGTAAGGGGTTTACTGTTGTGAGGTTTGACTGTTGTGAAGTATGAATGTTTTGGAGGTTTGACTGTTGTGAGGTTTTAGTGTTGTGAGGTTTGACTGTTGTGAGGTTTTTACTGTTGTGAGGCTTGACTGTTGTGAGGTTTGACTGATGAGAAGTTTGACTGTTGTGAGGTTTGGCTGCTGTAAGGTTTGACTGTTGTGAGGCTTGGCTGTTGTGAGGTTTCATCAACTATTGTGAGGTTTTAGTGTGTGAGGTTTGACTGTTGTGAGGCTTGGGCTGTTGTGAGGTTTGACTGGGTTTTGAGGTTTTATTGCTGTGAAGTTTGACTGTTGTGAGGTTTGACTGCTGTAAGGTTTGACTGTTGTGAGGTCTGACAGTTGTGAGATTTGACTGTTGTGAGATTTGACTGTTGTGAAATTTTGACTGTTGTGACGGGTTTTACTTTTGTGAGGCTTTTACATTTTTTGAGGTTTGACCGTGTGAGGTTTGACTATTTTGAGGTCTGATAATTGTGAGGTTTGACTGTTGTTAGGTTTGACTGTTGCAAGGTTTGATTGTTGTGAGGTTTGACTGATGTGAGTTTGGGCTGTTTTTTTTAGGTTTGACAGTTGTGAGGTTTAACTGTTGTGAGGTTTGACTGGGTGTGAGGTTTGACTGTTGTGAGGCTTCACTGTTGTGAGGTTTGACTGTTTTAGAGGTTTGACTGTTGTTTAGGGACTGACTGTTGTGAGGTTTGACTGTTGTTAGGTTTGACTGTTGTAAGGTTTGATTGTTGTGAGGTTTGACTGTGTGAGATTTGACTGTTGTGAGGGTTTTACTGTTGTGAGGTTGATAAATTTTGAGGTCTGACAGTTGTGAGGCTGACTGTTGTGAGGTTTGACTGTTGTGAGGTTCAACTGTTGTGAGGTTTGACCGTTGTGAAGTTTGACTGTTATGAGGTTTGACTGTTTTTAGGTTTGAATGTTGTGAGGTCTGACAGTTGTGAGGTTTGACTGTTGTGAGGTTTGACTGTTGTGAGGTTTGACTGTTGTGAGGTTTGACTGTTGTGAGGTTTGACTGTTTTGAGGACTGCTGTTTTTGAGGCTGACTGTTGTGAGGTTTTGACTGTCGGAGGTTGATGTTGTGAGGTTGACTGTTGGAGGTTTGACTGTTTTGAGGACTGACTGTTGTGAGGACTGACTGTTGTGAGGTTTGACTGTCGTGAGGTTTGACTGTTGTGAGGTTTGACTGTTGTGAGGTCTGAGAGTTGTGAAGTTTGACTGTTGTGAGATTTGGCTGTTGTGGAGATTGACTGTTATGATGTCTGACAGATGTGAGGTTTGACTGTTGTGAGGTTTGACTGTTGTGAGGTTTGACTGTTGTGAGGCTGACAGTTGTTTAGGTTTTTACTGTTGTGAGATTTGGCTGTTGTGAGGTTTGACTATTGTGAGGTATAGTGCTGTGAGGTTTGACTGTTGTGAGGCTTGATTGTTGTGAGGTTTGACTGTTGTGAGGTTTGACTGTTGTGAAGTTTGACTGTTGTGAGGTTTGACTGTTGTAAGGTTTTTTTAAATGTTGTGAGGTCTGACTGTTGTGAGGTTTGACTGTTGTGAGGTTTGACTGCTGTGAGGTTTGACTGTTGTGACGTTTGACTGTTGTGAGGCTTGACAGTTGTGAGGTTTGATTGTTGTGAGGTTTTACTGTTGTGAGGTTTGACTGTTGTGAGGTTTGACTGTTGTGAAGTATGAATGTTTTGAGGTTTGACTGTTGTGAGGTTTTAGTGTTGTGAGGTTTGACTGTTGTGAGGTTTGACTGTTGTGAGGCTTGACTGTTGTGAGGTTTGACTGAAGAGAAGTTTGACTGTTGTGAGGTTTGGCTGCTGTAAGGTTTGACTGTTGTTGAGGCTGGTGGGTTTTGAGGTTTTCATAACTTTGTGAGGTTTTAGTGCTGTGAGGTTTGGACTGTTGTGAGGCTTGACTGTTGTTGGGGGTTTGACTGTTGTGAGGTTTTATTGCTGTGAAGTTTTACTGTTGTGAGGTTTGACTGCTGTAAGGTTTGACTGTTGTGAGGTCTGACAGTTGTGAGATTTGACTGTTGTGAGGTTTGATTGTTGTGTGGGTTTTACTGTTGTGAGGTTTGATTTTTGTGAGGTTTGATGTTGTGAAGAATGAATGTTTTGAGGTTTGACTGTTGTGAGGGGTTTTAGTGTTGTGAGGTTTGACTGTTGTGAGGTTTGACTTTGTGAGGCTTGGGCTGTTTTTGAGGTTTGACTGATGAGAAGTTTCACTGTTGTGAGGTTTGGCTGCTTTTAAGGTTTGACTGTTGTGAGGTCTGACTGTTGTGAGGTTTGACTGTTGTGAGGTTTGACTAGTGTAAGGTTTGACTGTTGTGAGAGTTTGAGTGTTATGAGGTTTGACTGTTGTGAGGTTTTAGTGTTGTGAGGTTTGACTGTTGTTAGGTTTGTCTGTTGTGAGGTTTGACTGTTGTCAGGTCTGACTGTTGTGAGGTCTGACTGTTGTGAGGTTTGACTGTTGTCAGGTTTGACTGTTGTGAGGAATGATAGTTGTGAGGTCTGACTGTTATGAGGTTTGACTGTTGTGAGGCTTGACTGTTGTGAGGTCTAACAGTTGTGAAGTTTGACTGTTGTGAGGTTTGACTGTTGTGAGGTTTGACTGTTGTGAGGTTTGACTGTTGTGAGGTTTGACTGTTCTGAGGACTGACTGTTAAGAGCTTTGACTGCCGTGAGATTTGACTGTTGTGAGGTTTAGCCGTTGTGAGGTTTGCTGTTGTGAAAGGTTTGACTGTGTGAAGTTTTATTGTGAGGTCTGAGAGTTGTGAAGTTTGCTGTTGCGAGATTTGGCTGTTGTTTAGGATTTACTGGGGTTTTAGGTTGGGCAGTTGTGAGGGTCTGACTGTGGTGAGGTCTGACTGTTGTGTGGTTTGACTGTTGTTTAGGTTTATTGTTGTAAGGCTTTTATTGTTTGTGAGGTTTGACTGTTGTGAGATCTGATTGTTGTGAGGTCTGACTGTTGTTGTAAGGTCTGATTATTGTGAAGTCTGGCTGTTGTGAGGTCTGAGTGTTGTAAGGTTTGACTGTTTGTGAGGTTTGATGTTGTGAGATTTGACTGTTGGAGGTCTGACGTTCTGAGTTGACTGTTGTTAGGTTTGCTGTTGTTAGGTTTGATGTTGTGAGGATTGGGCTGGTTGTGAGGTTTGACTGTTGTGAGGTTTTACTGTTGTGAGGCTTGGACTGTTGTGGAGGTTTGACGGTTGTGAGGTCTGATGATTTTGAGGTTTGACTGTTGTTAGCTTTGTGCTGCAAGTTTGATTGTTGTGAGGTTTGACTGTTCTGAGGTTTGGCTGTTGTGAGGTTTGACTGTTGTGAGGTTTGACTGTTGTGAGGTTTGACTGTTGTGAGGTTTGACCGTTGTGAGGTTTGATGTTGTGAGGTTCTGATGTTGTGAGGTTTGACTGTTGTGAGGTTTGACTGTTGTGAGGATGACTGTTGTGAGGTTTGAAATGTTGTTAGGTTTGGGTGTTGTAGGTTTGATTGTTGTGAGGTTTGACTGATGTGAGGTTTGACTGTTGTGAGGTTTGATTGTTGTGAGGTTTGACTGTTGTGAGGTTTGACTGTTGTGAGGTCTGACAGTTGTGAGGTTTGACTGTTGTAAGATTTGACTGTTGTGAGATTTGACTGTTGTGAGGTTTGACTGTTGTGAGGTTTGACTGTTGTCAGGCCTGACTGTTGTGAGGTTTGACTGTGTGAGGTTTGACTGTTGTGAGGCTTGACTGTTGTGAGGTTTGACTGTTGTGAGGTCTGATAGATGTGAGGTTTGACTGTTGTTAGCTTTGACTGCTGCAAGATTTGATTGTTGTGAGGTTTGACTGTTCTGAGGTTTGGCTGTTGTGAGGTTTGACTGTTGTGAGGTTTGACTGTTGTGAGGTTTGACTGTTGTGAGGTTTGACCGTTGTGAGGTTTGACTGTTGTGAGGTCTGATAGTTGTGAGGTTTGACTGTTGTGAGGTTTGACTGTTGTGAGGACTGACTGTTGTGAGGTTTGACTGTTGTTAGGTTTGACTGTTGTAAGGTTTGATTGTTGTGAGGTTTGACTGATGTGAGGTTTGACTGTTGTGAGGTTTGATTGTTGTGAGGTTTGACTGTTGTGAGGTTTGACTGTTGTGAGGTCTGACAGTTGTGAGGTTTGACTGTTGTAAGATTTGACTGTTGTGAGATTTGACTGTTGTGAGGTTTGACTGTTGTGAGGTTTGACTGTTGTCAGGACTGACTGTTGTGAGGTTTGACTGTCGTGAGGTTTGACTGTATCGAGGTTTGACTGTTGTGAGGTTTGACTATTGTGAAGTTTGACTGTTGTGCGGTTTGACTGTTGTGAGGTTTGACTGCTGTGAGGACTGAATATTATGAGGTTTGACTGTCGTGAGGTTTGGCTGTTGCGAGGTTCGACTGTTGTTAGGTTTGACTGTTGTGAGGTTGATGTGGAGGTTTGACGTTGTGAGGTCTGAAGAGTTTTGAGTTTGATGTTGTGAGTTTGGCTGTTGTGAGGATTGACTGTTGTGAGGTCTGACGTTGTGAGGTTTGACTGTTGGAGGTTTGACTATTGTGACGTTTAACTGTTGTGCGGTTTACTGTTGTGAGTTTTACTGCTTGTGAGGGAACTGAATTTATGAGGTTTGACTGTCGTGAGGTTTGGCTGTTGCGAGGTTCGACTGTTGTTAGGTTTGACTGTTGTGAGGTTTGGCTGTTGTGAGAGTTGACTGTTGTGAGGTCTGAGAGTTTGAAGGGTTTGACTGTTGTGAGATTTGGCTGTTGTGAGGATTGACTGTTGTGAGGTCTGACAGTTGTGAGGTTTGACTGTTGTGAGGTTTGACTGCTGTGAGGTTTGACTGTTGTAAGGTTTGACTGTTGTGAGGTTTGACTGTTGTGAGGTTTGACTGTTGTAAGGTTTGACAGTTGTGGGGTTTGACTGTTGTGAGGTTTGACTGTTGTGATGTTTGACTGTTGTGCGGTTTAACTGTTGTGAGGTTTGACTGCTGTGAGGACTGAATATTATGAGGTTTGACTGTCGTGAGGTTTGGCGTTGCGAGGTTCGACTGTTGTTAGGTTTGACTGTTGTGAGGTTTGACTGTTGTGAGGTTTGACTGTTGTGAGGTCTGAGAGTTGTGAAGTTTGACTGTTGTGAGATTTGGCTGTTGTGAGGATTGACTGTTGTGAGGTCTGACAGTTGTGAGGTTTGACTGTTGTGAGGTTTGACTGCTGTGAGGTTTGACTGTTGTAAGGTTTGACTGTTGTGAGGTTTGACTGTTTTTGAGGTTTGACTGTTGTAAGGGTTTTACCCGTTTTTAAAGGGTTTTATTGTTGTGAGGTTTGACTGATGTGAGGTTTTTACTGTTGTGAGGTCTGAAGTTTTGAAGTTTGACTGTTGTGAGATTTTGGCTGTTGTGAAGATTTTGGGGGCTGTTGTGAGGTCTGCAGATGTGTAGGTTTGACTGTTGTGAGGTTTGACTGTTGTGAGGTTTGACTGTTGTGAGGTCTGACAGTTGTGAGGTTTGACTGTTGTGAGATTTGGCTGTTGTGAGGTTTGATATTGTGAGGTATGTGCTGTGAGGTTTGTGTTGTGGGCTTGACTGTTGTGAGGTTTGGGCTGTTGTGAGGTTTGACTGTTGTGAAGTTTGACTGTTGTGAGGTTTGACTGCTGTAAGGTTTGACTGTTGTGAGGTCTGACTGCTGTGAGGTTTGACTGTTGTGAGGTTTGACTGTTGTGAGTTTTGACTGTTGTGACGTTTGGGCTGTTGTGTAGGCTTGACAGTTTTGAGGTTTTATTGTGTGAGGTTTTACTGTTGTGAGGTTTCACTGTTGTGAGGTTTGTCTGTTGTGAGATTTGATTCTTGTGAGGACTTACTGTTGTGAGGTTTGACTGTCGTGAGGTTTGACTGTTTTGAGGTTTGGTTGTTGCGAGGTTTTAGTGTTGTGAGGTTTGACTGTTGTGAGGTTTTACTGTTGTGAGATTTGACTGTTGTGAGGTTTGACTGTTGTGAAGTTTGGTTGTTGTGAGGTTTGGCTGTTGTTAGGTTTGACTTTTGTAAGGTTTGATTGTTGTGAGGTTTGACTGTTGTGAGCTTTGACTGTTGTGAGGTTTCACTGTTGTGAGGTCTGACAGTTGTGAGGTTTGACTATTGTGAGGTTCGACTATTGTGAGGTTTGACTGTTGTGAGGTTTGAATGTTGTGAGGTTTGACTGTTGTGACGTCTGCCAGTTGTGAGGTTTGACTGTTGTGAGGTTTGACTGTTGTGAGATTTGATTGTTGTGAGGACTGACTTTTGTGAGGTTTGACTAGCGTGAGGTTTGACTGTTGTGAGGTATGATTGTTGTTAGGTTTGACTGTGTTGAGGTTTGAGTGTTGAGAGGTTTGACTGTTGTGAGGTCTGAGAGTTGAGAAGTTTGACTGTTGTGAGATTTGGCTGTTGTGAGGATTGACTGTTGTGAGGTCTGACAGTTGTGAGGTCTGAGTGTGGTGAGGTCTGACTGTTGTGAGGTTTGACTGTTGTTAGGTTTAACTGTTGTAAGGTTTGACTGTTGTGAGGTTTGACTGTTGTGATGTCTGATTGTTGTGAGGTCCGACTGTTGTGAGGTCTGACTGTTGTTAGGTCTGATTGTTGTGAAGTCTGACTGTTGTGAGGTCTGACTGTTGTGACGTTTACTGTTGTGAGGTTTATCTGTTGTGAGATCTGACTGCTGCGAGTTCTGACTGTTGAGAGGTCTGACTTTTGTGAGGTTTGACTGTTGTGAGGTTTGACTGTTGTGAGGTTTGACTGTTGTGAGGTTTGACTGTTGTGAGATTTGACTGTTGTGAGGTTTGACTGATGTGAAGTTTGATTGTTGTGAGGTTTGGCTGTTGTGAGGTCTGACAGTTGTAAGGTTTGACTGTTGTGAGTTTGATGTTGTGAGGTTTGACTGATGTGAAGTTTGATTGTGGGAGGTTTTGACTTTGTGAGCTTTGGGCTGTTGTGGGTTTGACTGTTGTGAGGTTTGACGTTGTGGGTTTGACTGTTGTGAGTTTTGGCTGTTGTAGGTTTGACTGTTGTGAGGTTTGACTGTTGTGAGGTTTGACTGTTGTGAGGTTTGACTGTTGTGACGTCTGCCAGTTGTGAGGTTTGACTGTTGTGAGGTTTGACTGTTGTGAGATTTGGGGTTGTTGTGAGGACTGATTATTGTGAGGTTTGACTGGCGTGGGGGTTTGACTGTTGTGAGGTTATGATTGTTGTGAGGTTTGACTGTGTTAAGGTTGAGTGTTGTGAGGTTTGACTGTTGTTTAGGTTGAGATGTTTGGAAATTTGACTGTTGTGAGATTTGGGCGTTTGAGAGGATTGACTGTTGTGAGGTTGACAGTTGTGAGGTCTGAGTGTGGTGAGGTCTGACTGTTGTGAGGTT